GATTTAAAGATTTAACTGTATAAAAATACGGTTTATTCATACACAAAATAAACAAATTGGCAAATCGGGTGATTAACCGGTACTGACGTTTCGAACTGTCTCTCTCGAGTCCGTGGACACGGTTTGATCCGCAGTTGGTTCTGTGGTCCGCTGCTGCTGTAACGTTACGAGCCAAAAGATGTTTTTGCTCATGCTGGTGGCTACTCGGTTGCTGGTTTCCCAGCAACAAGCCTGTCCCAAATTTGTACGGACTGGACTTTTCGGTTGTTAGCATGATCAACAACGCATGAACGAAATGATAAAATGATTTAACGAAATTACATCATACCCTACTATCCCGAAATACTAAAATGGATTCTTTAAATTTAAGGTAAAATTTATTATGGATTTCAGTGACGTTTAAATTCACCAATGTTACAAAGTACACATGACATTAGGTAACACGATGACTCATTTAAATAGCACCCGAAAGTTGGCCTATTTAGTGATATACCGCAACCTGTACTTCAGCTCCCACTGCACGGGCTTTCTTTAATGCACGTTTCTTATCTGTTTGCTGGTTTATATTGCGGTATTTGTATTATGGCGACGAGAAATAAAAAAATAATGAAAGAAAAGCGAATAATGCTTTTGCATTTTCAAAACAGAAAAAACTACAGCAGAAAACAATTTTTATTTGTGTCGGGATTTCTTTGATTTTCTGCCCTTCTTCTTGGCTTTAGACTTTGCAATTTTGCGATTCAAAGTTTTCCTCATTTCCTCCTCTTGAGCCCTTTCCATCTGTCGCTGTACCTTGAGTTCCTTGTAGTTGACGAATTTTCGTTTGGCGGGTTTCGCTCCAAGTGACACTGCGAGCTGGGCTTTGCGTTTCTCCCTTTCCGACGAAGAGTAACCGCGGACACTGAACTTCTTTACCTCATAAAACAAGTTTCTCAAGTCTATTTCAGGAGGTTCGTTAGCTTTCGCGGTCGTCACCTCCACTTTTTCGTTTTCAGAAATAGTGGATTGGGCTTGATGGCAAGAAGCCACAGATTTGTGTTTCCGATACTCTCTTACTAGCGTAGTGCAATCTTCAACGGTCTTTTGTGAAAATTTGATATCTACTTCCATTGGAGCCGGAAACTGTGCTGCTACTACCTTCTCCAGGCATTTTGGGTCTTCCACCAAACTAGCGCCGCTGAATGCTTCTTCGATACTTCCACTCCATTCTTCCATCATCACCATCAAAAGCGATCCATCTACAAATATTTATAAATTTATTTTCCCTCCGACCAAGCTGAAACCACAAAGTACTAAATCGGTTTTATCTACATTACCATGAAGAAAGTATATATAATATTACTGAAATTAGCACCAGCATTAAGAACAATTCTCTTGCTTCATATGAACATTAGACCCAATAAATCAGTGATCCATTTGATTTGATTCACTTTATCTTCGGATCCATATTACAGCTTTCGACAGTCTTCCCAAACAGATGTCAGTCAGGTTATTGAACTCAGAAATTACTAAGGCAAGTCGTAGAAAAGAGAGATGGTTCCTTGAATATTTCTGACGATACATTTCACACATCCACGATTGAAATGCATCACTGGACTATATTTAGTAATCTCAGTGAGAGCAAAAGCATCAAAAATAAACGAGGTTACATTTCGTACACCCAGATCGAAAATATGATTTTCGTTGAAAACAAATCGAAGGTCTGCAAAAAGTTTTCTGATGTTATTAAGAAATTCTGCTTATAATTAAATGAACAATAAACGCCCTTTGAAAAGTTAAGGAACTACATTTGAACAAGATATATGCCACATTGTTGCTTGCAAGTTCGATTTGCAAGTACAATTAGGATAATGCTGGTAACGTGGGAGTGCATTTTAAAGGATCTTTCTAATATCGTCTAATTCGTGTCGAAAAGAGCACAAGAACTGCACGTGCATCGTCGAGTAGCGGAAGAAAAGAAATATTTGTTAAATAATACTTCATTTTTTCCTTTAAAAAATGTTTTAAGCGACCTCAAATATTACGAATAGTAGGCATCACACGGCTGTGCAAAAGTTTATGATCGCAAATTGACAGCAAACAACACCACGGTGACGATTTTCTATCTTCTAATAATCCTGTATATGTTTCAAGAGTCAAACTTAATATTTAAAATAACTCTTTCAGAAGTTCATGTATTGAATCTAGTAGCAACCACCTGCAGTAAATATCAAGAGTTCTTGTTCCCCGTCCCAATTTGAATAGCATGGTTTATTAGAATTCGGTTCGTCACTTGTGCCCTAATGTGAGAATTGTGCAGTATTATCCCGTTTCACAAAGTGGCATTCTGTTTCGAATAGAATGTGGTGATGCATCAAAAACACACGAGTAGGTCCCGGTGACCTAGCTCATTCAGTCATGTGCGTTGCTACATTTTAATTCATGTTCCGGC